TTTATATATATATTTATATTCCCAAAACCCCCATTAAACCGATGCCTCAAGTAAATTCCTTATATATGTTGCGAAAAAACTGCCTCCGCCAGGACTCGAACCTGGAACCTCCCCACTTTCCAGGCAGGACGCCTTTCCATTCGGTCACCGAAGCTTTGACAGTCCTCTCGCGCAACACAATGTTTATAAATTCTCTAAGATGTAAGTCGAGTGAGACGATCTCGTAAGAGATGTTATTATTATACAAGAGAGATAGTATATTCTTCCGCCAATGCTTCTATTTAAGATAAACCGAAATTACAGAAAGCTCCTTTGAATAACTAATAGTAAGATTTGAAAAATGGCAGTAAGGAGCAAGCACGGATGTCTTAGTGCTATTAGATATTAATACTACTTATTTAATATTAATATGATAGTGGGAAGATAATATGTTCAGCATATTACATCTTAGAGAATTTATAAACATTGTGTTGCGAGAGGACTGTCGAAGCCTCGGTGGCCGAATGGAAAGGCGTCCCGCCCGGAAAGTGGGGAGGTTCCAGGTTCAAGTCCTGGCGGAGGCAGTTTTTTCGCAACATATAAAGAATCTATTTGAGGCATCGGTTTAATGGGGGTTTTGGGAATATAAATATATATATAAAAATTTGGGACTCAAGGATCGGTCTAAGTGTGAAAGGTTGATTCGCCGCGTACGATAATCGAAGAAATTTCGATACGTACATTTAACATGCTGGACATATTATCCTCCCACTATCATATTAATATTAAATAAGTAATATTAATATCTAATAGCACTAAGACATCCGTGCTTGCTCCTTACTACCATTTTTCAAATCTTACTGTTAATTTGTTATGTTTGCTCTTCTATGTAACTACATCTTTCAAGAATAGTTTATATACTATGATGTACATATATGCCTTCCTCCTTCTTTCCCTCTTTCTCATTTTCTCTTCTCTCTTGTTCTCCCCTGTTCTCTCTGATTACAACAGTTTCCCATATATATGTTCATATATGTATGTATGTATATGTATGTATATATATATATATATATATATATATATATATATATATATATATATATATATCACAGGATAAACTAACCTAAAAAGACGCAGTCACATAGAAGCGCAAACATAAAATGCAACACTAATGAAACGAGTAAACTACGGTCGGATGATTTTTGCAATGCTTCTGCGATTTAAGATAAAATAGGATGTATTATAATTCTATAAATAAGTCATACCGGTTTTTTTATTTATGGTCAGTCCGTTAGTTAAAAAAATATTTTGCACATCTCACATAATACTTTAAAAGTCGCGGATGTACAATTTTATAATTGTCCTTCAATATATCTTACAAAAAGATGCCACAACCTGCTAAGTCGATTTCCGATCATATCACGTTCAATAACTGCGATGTTGAGCATCAATGTCCTAACGGGGTTTGTGCAAATGTCTTTCTGAAAAATTACAGTATAAAGTTTAGGTCGCGGAGCTGTAGCGTACATAGGGCAAAAGTTGCAGCTTTCGTTTAGACGTGGCGTGACTGAGCGGACTGAGACTCCTGCGCCGAATATTTTTTGGCCGGCGATGAGCGTTCGAATCTCGTCGACGACTTGTCCGTGTGCGGTATTCTTTTTCTTTTTTTATTTTTTCTTACCTGGAAACATATAATTAATGCTTTTCGAGTATAATACATTTGTTTTACATATATCTTTTGTTTTTGGGCTATTAGGGATAATGAGGGAAGTATCAAACTTGTTTAACGCAAACACAAATATACGAGGGTGGTCTGAAAAGTTTCCGACCTAACAAAGATACAAGTCATTTTTTCTGAAAATTGTTTTTTATTTTTCAACATAGTCTCCTTGTAAATCTACACACTTCTCCCAGCGATGCTCCCATCTCTGTAACCCGTCGAAATAGTACTCGGCGTTTTTCTCTGCAAAATAATTGTTCACGAAGGTGATTGCCTCTTCATTTGACGAAAATCTCTGTCCTCCGAGCGCAATTTTTAGATGAGGGAACAAAAAGAAGTCGCTTGGGGCTAGATCT